CTGAACTGGAGCCGGAAGTTAAAGCAAAATATAGAAGAAATGGGAATGATTTCGCCTTGAAGGGTATCTGTATTTAAGTTGTTAAGGATTGACGATGTCAGTATAATGATGGCATTAAAAGTAAGGATACTAAAATTAGATATTTTAAATAGTGATTAATTAATCCCTTTTTTTCTGAAAGACAAAGAGTTCTTAGTAGCAGGTTCAATTTTTATTTAATTTTGAATTTGTTAACCGTTCATATATTATTCATTATCTCATTTAGTTAAGCTGTAAATATTTAGTTTTACTTGTAAACGTTTATTCACAATCTAGTTATTCACATCAATTTTAGTCATTAGACTGACACCAGTTTTCCATAACGGTGACTTGTAGATGTTAATGTTGTTAAAGAGTATGTAAATAATGGTCACATGATTTTAAATCTTTTGATCTAAATAGTCTATTGTAGCTTAGCTGGTCTTTGAACTGAACTTCCTCTAACCAGAGCCGGGAGGGTTGAGAAGCTAAAGATGTAATAACACTAAGCTTTTTCTTTCTAAGGTATGTGAACTTAAACTGGACAGGATTTGTGGTGTCCGTATAATGAGGTCCTTAAAAGTAAGGATACGAAAATTGGGAATTTATAAACGGAGATTAATGTAATCCCTTTCTTTTTCGAAAGGGGAAAGGAATGCGAGGTAACATATTCAATTTTTTATTTCGTTATGGTTTTGTTTTCAATTCGTTTATTATTCTTTCTATTGTTTAGTTAACCTATAAAACTTTAGTTTTACGTTTAAACACTACCTCACATTCTACTTAAGTACGTCATTTAAAGTTTCTAAATGTTGACTGACACCAGTTTCCTGTATCAGTAACTTGCAGATATTAATATTTCAAAATAGTTTATAAATAATGTTATTGTAAATATTAAAAATTGATATTAAGTTGTGTGACGAGAGATAGTAAGTGTTATTGGTTATTATTGACAACTTTATAAACTGTAGTTTTGTACATATTGTATTTTATAATTCCTTTTATTTATAGAAACATTAATCCTGATGTTTATGATATATTGTTCTTTGTTAGTAGAAAGTTCTGGCAATGGGAATATCCATAAACTAAATCTAAACTATACAATTAGTTTTATAAGTGATCAAAAAAGGACTTCTTGGAAACAACTACAAATACCCAACATCATCTGCAACCTTAGAAGAACGAACAGAACTATTTACATATATTAAACAGACAATATCCAAAGTTGAATTACATCGGAAGCTACAGCGAAAGGCTTACAACCGTTAGTATCTTTCGGACACAATTAAATAATAGTTAATTTACTAATGTTGTTATTAATAATATATTCATTATCTTCTGTGTTAAATTGTCTTATTCTAATATCAACGGACTGTCTAAACTTATTATTTATGTTACTCCATTTTTTATATTAAAAAAAATCTATTTAATGGTAAAACAATTTTACTTGTCTAAATTGAAGAAAATATAATTATTTCTATACCAGAAAATGCTCATCGTTCTATGTCGTTGCAGAAAAAAGTGGCGTCAGTAGACTTGAAGAGTGCCTTCCCCCCCCCCTCTCTCTCTCCAATGAGATGAATTTCTTTTGACGTGTCCAAATATCATCTTTCGACTTTACGAGTCATTTGTGTCATCTGCCCTACCTAGATGGTCTTCAAACTCAAGCACTCCCTGTATGGTGAACCATAGCAGTAAATTAAAGATTAACTTTTAGAGTTAAGAACATAAACAATTTGTCCTAGTATCTGTACTTAACTGTGGGGGGATTTATGTCAGTATAACGAATGCCTTAAAAATAAGGATACGAAAATTTGGAGTTTATAAGCAGTGATTTAATATTATCAAAATCTTCGTCTAAAGCGGAAGGAGTGTGAGATAGCATATTCTATTGTTATTTTGTTATGGATTTCTTTACCGTTCATTTATTATTCATTCTATCATTTAGTTAAGTTCTGGATTTTTATTTACCCTTAAACGCTAACTCACCTTCTAGCTAATCGCACTAATTATTAATTCACATGAATTATTAGACTGACATCAGTTTCCCCTATCGGTGACTTACAGATATTAATATAGCTAAATAGTATGTACAATATTTGTTTATTACAGATTAACTGGTCTTAGAACTGTAACTTCTTTAAGCTGAACTAGAACCGAAAGATAAAGTCGAATATATAAAAATGGTTTCATCCTTGTACTGTATCTGTATTTAAACTGTGAAGTATATCAGTATAAAGTTACAAGTAAGGACTTAATTTTAAACTGAATAATGTAATCACTTCTTCTAAAGGGGAAAGAGTGTGAAGTAGAAAGTTTAATTTTATTTCGTTTTGGATTTGTTTAGTTATTTCTCATTCTATCATTTAGTTAATGTGTGAATTTTTAGTTTGCATTTTTGTTATTCGCATCAATTTAAAATTTGAATTATGAGACCGACACTAGTTTATCATAGCGTTGACTTATAGATGTTAATGTTAGTAATGAGTATATAAATAATGATCACATTATTTCAAATCTCTTCATCTAATTAATTATAGCAACTTTGCTGGTCTTTGGACTTAACTTCCCGTAACCTGAATCTGAGCAGAAGGTAGAGAAGCTGAAGATCTGAGAAAACGACGCCTTTTCTTTGTAAGGTAGATGTATTTAAACTGGGCAGGATTCATGGTGTCAGTATAATGAGATCATTAAAAGTAAGGGTACTAAAACTGGTAATTTATAAGCAGTGATTAATGTGATCACTTCGGTTTTCAAACGGGAAAGGAATACGAGGTAGCAAATTCTACTTTGATTTCGTTATGGTTTTGTTTTCTCTTCATTTATTATTCTTTCTATTGTTTAGTTAACCTGTAACATTTGTTTTACGTTTAAACGCTATTTCGTGTTCTAATCAATTACGTCATTTAAAGTTTAAAAGTTATGAGACTGACACCAGTTTCCATTACCGGTGACTTGCAGATATTTGTGTTGCAAAATTTTTAATTTAATGTTTCGAATAAAGACTTTGTCATGATTTTCAATGACTTTTCTCACGTGAGATAGCGATGAAGTGATTTTCTTGTTATTTGATGTTTTAAGTTTTATACATATTTTTCTTTCGTTCCTTTTTCTATTTTAACATTTATATAACTTTTAAACTGTTATTGATTGCATATTGTTTATTCGTGTTAGTGGAAAGTTTTGGCTCATTCTTACACTGTATGCAAGCTATTTGATATTTTATAAGGGGTCCAAAGGTCTTTTTGGAAACAAAATATCCACCATTACCTGGAACCGTAGATGAACGAACAGAAATATCTAAAAATGTTATACAGAAGGCAATATCCAACGTTGAAAAACATTGGAAGATACAGCGAGAAGCTTAAACCCGTTAGTATCTTTCGGACAAAATTAAAAGTAGGTAACTCGCTACTATAGTTAAGAATACATCAAATGTTCTTAAGTGAATCTTACTGAACTTATTTCAAAGATTGAATGAACAATTCAAAGTTAAAACTTGTGTTTCTCCATTTTTATATTAATTAGGTTATATTGTGTTAACAGGACAATTTTACGTTTCTAGAATGAATATTTTCTGTAGTGAAAATTCTGTCGACACGAGAGGAAATAGTCACCGTCCTATGTCATTACAGAAAATTTCAATGGCGCGAGAAGGCTTTCAGATTGCGCCCTCCCTTCCATCAAACTAAAGTACTTATTCTTGTATGTCCACATCTCGTCCTTCGACGTAACGTACTGATGAGTCATTCATGTCCTCTGCTTAACGTAAGTAGTCTTTGAACTCCAACACTTCCTTTCCTGCTCTGGTTCACTTTACAGTAGAGAAGATGAAGATTCGTTAACATGAATTATTTCTTTTTGTAAGGTATCTGTACTGAAACTGTAAAGGATTCTTGGTGTCTGTATAATGAGGGTCTTAAAAGTAACGATACGAAAATTGGGAATTTAGGAGTGATTAAATGTACTCACTTCGGTTTTCGAAAGGAGTGTGAGGTAGCAAACTATTTTATTTTGTTATGGTTTTGTTTAGTTAACTTATTCTTTCTATCGTTTAGTTTATCTGTCAATTTTTACTTTACACTTAAACGCTAACTCACTTCCTAGCTAATCGCATTAACTTTTAGATTTTACGAGTTATCAGACTGACACCAGTTTCCCATATCGGTGACGTACATATATTTAACATTGATAAATAGTATGTAAATAATAATTACATGAATTAATCTGTTGTTCTAACTAGTCACTTAATTATTGCAGGTCAGCTTGTCTTTGAACTCGAGGACGTACCGTAACCTGAGCCGGAAGGTAGACAATGTGAAGAAGGAAGAATAGGAACAAATTTTCATTGTAAGGTATATGTACTTAAACTGGGCAGGATTCATGATGTCAGTATAACAAGATCATTAAAACTAAGGATACGTAAATTGGGAATTTACTGATTAATGAAATCACTTTTTTCGATGGAGGAAGGAATGTGAGGTAGCAAATTATATTTTTATTTCGTTATGGTTTTGTTTTCAGTTCGTTTATTCTTTCTATTGTTTAGTTATCTAACAAAAATGTTTAGTTTTACGTTTAAATACTACCTCGCATTCCACTTAACTACGTCATTTAAATCTTCTAAAAGTTATGAGACTGACACCAAGTTTCCTGTATCGATAACTTGCAGATATTAATGTTTCAAAATGGTATGTAAGTAATGTTAATATCAATTTTTAATATTTACAATCAATTGTGTGACGAGAGATAGTGAGTGTTATTTGTTATTATTGACAACTTTATAAACTGTAGTTTTGTACATATTGTATATTCTAATTCCTTTTATTTATAGAAACATTAATCCTGATGTTTATGGTATATTGTTCTTTGTTAGTAGAACGTTCTGGCAATGGGAATATCCATAAACTAAATCTAAACTATACAATTAGTTTTATAATTGGTCAAAAAAGGACTTCTTGGAAACAACTACAAATACCCAACATCATCTGCAACCTTAGAAGAACGAACAGAACTATTTACACATATTAAACAGACAATATCCATAGTTGAATTACATCGGAAGCTACAGCGAGAGGCTTACAACCGTTAGTATCTTTCGTACACAATTAAATAATAGTTAATTTACTAATGCTGTTATTAAGAATATATTCATTATCTTCTGTATTAAATTGTTTTATTTTAAAACTTATTCTAAGATGTAATAGACTGTCTAAACTTAATGTTTGTTACTCTATTTTAGAGAAATAAAATTGTTCTACCATTAAATTGATTTTAATATAAAAAAAAAAATGAAGAAAATATTTTCTCGAGATGATTATTCTATTTTCTATTCCAGAAAATGCTCGTCGTTCTATGTCGTTGCAGAAAATGAAGTTGCGACAGAGGGCTTGGAGAGTGCCTCGTCCCCTCTCTAATAAGAGAATTTGTTTCGATGTGTCCACATCTCATCCTTCGACTTAACGAATCATCTGCTCAACTAAGATTGTCTTCGAAGTCAAGCACTCCCTGTAAGGGGAACTAAAGCAGGAAACTAAGATTAATCTGAAGAGTTAAGAACATAAACAACTTGTCCTAGTATCTGTACTTAACTGTGGGGGGATTTATAATGTCAGTATAACGATTGCCTTAAAAGTAAGAATACTAAAATTGGGAATTTATAAGCAGTGATTTAATATTACATTCTTTGTCTAAAGCAGAAGGAGTGTGAGATAGCATATTCTTTTGTTATTTTGTTATGGATTTCTTTACCGTTCATTTATTATTCATTCTATCGTTTAGTTAAGCTCTGAATTTTTATTTATTCTTAAACGCTAACTCACCTTCTAGCTAATCGCACCAATTTTTAATTTATATGAATTATGAGACTGACATCAGTTTCCCTTTATCAGTGACGTACAGATATTAATATTGGTAAAGAGTATGTATATCATTTGGTATTTAATTATTACAGATTAACCGATCTTAGAACTCTATCTTTCGGTTCTAGTACAGGTTAACGAAGTTAAAGTCGAATATATAAGAAAATGGTTTCATCCTTGAACTGTATCCGTATTTAAAGTGTAAAGGAAGTCAGTATAATGTTATAAGTAAGGACTTAATTTTAAACTGATTAATGTAATCACTTCTTCTAAAGGGGAAAGAGTGTGAAGTAGAAAGTTTCATTTTATTTCGTTTTGGATTTGTTTAATTATTATTCATTCTATCATCATTTAGTTAATCTGTAAATTTCTAGTTTGCATTTTAGTTATTCACATCAATTTAAAATTTTAACTATGAGACCGACACCAGTTTCTTATAGCGGTGATTTATAGATGTTAATGTTAGTAATAAGTATATAAATAATCACATTATTTCAAATCTCTTCATCTAATTAATTATAGCAACTTAGCTGATCTTTGGACTTAACTTCCCGTAACCTGAATTTGAGCAGAAGGTAGAGAAGCTGAAGATCAGACAACACTACGCTTATTCTTTGTAAGGTATATGTATTTAAGCTGGGCGGGATTCATGGTGTCAGTATAATGAGATCATTAATAGTAAAGGAACTAAAATTGGGAATTTATAAGCAGTGATTAATGTGATCACTTCGATTTTCGAACGGGGGAGGAATACGAGGTAGCAAATTCTACTTTTATTTCGTTATGGTTTTGTTTTCTGTTTATTTATTATTATTTCTATTGTTTAGTTAACCTGTATCATTTGTTTTACATTTAAACGCTACTTCGCATTCTAATCAGTTACGTCATTTAAAGTTTATAAAAGTTATGAGACTGACACCAGTTTCCATTACCGGTTACTTGCAGATATTTGTGTTGCAAAATTTTTTTAATTTAATGTTTTGAATAAAGACTTTGTCATGAGTTTCAATGACGTTTTTCACATGAGATAGTGATCAAATGTTGTTGTTATTCGATGTTTTTTATACAAGTCTTTTTTCCCGTTCCTTTTTCCATTTGTTTATATAAACATTAAAAGTGTTATTGATGGCATATTTTTTTTTCGTGTTGGCGAAAAGTTCTCGCCACTAGCTCATCCATTCACTGTATGCAGGCTATTTGATAGTTTACGAGAATTCAAAGGACTTTTTGGAAACAAAATATCGAACATTATCTGCGACCGTAGATGAACGAACAGATCTACCTAGAAATATTATACAGAAGGCAATATCCAACGTTGAAAAAACATCGGAAGCTACAGCGAGAAGCTTAAACCAGTTAGTCTATTTCGGACAAAATTAAAAGTAGGTAACTCGCTACTATCGTTAAGAATACATCAAATATGTTCTGGACTGAATCCCACTGAACTTTAAGATTGAATGAACAATTCAAAGTTAGAACTTGTGTTTCTCCATTTTTATATAAATTAGGTTATATAGTGTTAACAGGACAATTTTACGTTTCTAAAATGAATATTTTCTCAAATGAAAATTCTGTCGACACGAAAGGAAATAGTCATCGTCCTATGTCATTACAGAAAATCTCACTGGCGCAAGAAGGTTTTCAGATTGCGCCCTCCCCTACATCAAAATAAAGGACTTATTCTGGTGTGTCCACATCTCATCCTTCGACGTAACGTACTGATGAGTCATTTATGCCCTCTGTTTAACGTAATTGGTCTTTGAACTCGAACACATCCTGTAAAGTGAACCAGAGCAGGAAAGTAGAGAAGATTCATGAATTATTTCTTTTTGTAAGGTATCTGTACTGAAACTGTAAAGGATTCTCGGTGTCGGTGTAATGAGGCCGTTAAAAGTAAAAATACGAAAATTGGGAATTTAGGAGTGATTAATGTACTCACTTCGGTTTTCGAAAGGAGTGTGAGGTAGCAAACTATTTTATTTTGTTATGATTTTGTTTAGTTAACTTATTCTTTCTATCGTTTAGTTTATCTGTCAATTTTAGTTTACACTTAAACGCTAACTCACTTCCTAGCTAATCGCATTAACTTTTAGATTCTACGAGTTATCAGACTGACACCAGTTTCCCATATCGGTGACGTACAGATGTTTAACATTGGTAAATATTATGTAAATAATGATTACATGAATTAATTTGTTGTTCTAACTAGTCACTTAATTATTGCAGCTTTAGCTTGTCTTTGAACTCGAAGACGTCCCGTAACCTGAGCTGGAAGATAGACAATGTGAAGAAGGAGGAATAGGAACGAATTTTCATTGTAAGGTATATGTACTTAAACTAGGCAGGATTCATGATGTCAGTATAACGAGGTCGTTAAAAGTAATAATAAGAAAATTTGGAATTTATAAACGGTGATTAATGTAATCACTTTCTTTTTTCGAAAGAACAAGGAATGTGAGGTAGCAAATTCTATTTTTATTTCGTTATGGTTTTGTTTTCAGTTCATTTAGCATTCATTCTATCGTTTAGTTAACCTGTGCAATTTGTTTTACGTTTAAACGCTACCTCGCATTCTATTTAATTATAACATTTTTAAGTTTGTAAGAGTTATGAGACTGACATCAGTTTTCCTTATCGGTGACTTTATGTTGCAAAAGTGCGTAAATGTTAATAACATTTTTTTTATGTTTTAAATAAACTGTCATGAGCTTCAATAACTTGGCGCACCAAAGATGGTGGGAAGTGTTTTTCGATATTTTAAGTTTTGTACATAGTTTTTAGAAAAACGTTCAGAAGAAGAAAAATTGTTGTGTATAAAAAATATTAATCCCGATATTGATGGTTTATTCTTTTGTTAGTAGGAAACAATTTCAACTGTTTGATAGTTTAAGGTATCAAAGAAGGACCTCTTGGAAACAACTAACACAATACCCAACTGTTGATGAACGAACAGAACTCTCTAAAGATGTTTTACACAAAGCAATATCCAACATTGAAAAGTAAGTCTCTCTCTTGTCACAATTAAAAATGGTTACCTTACTACTCCTGTTATTAAAAATAATATATTTTCTGCATTAAATACTTTCACTCAAACTTATTCTAATACGGTAAAACTTTAGAAATTACTATTACTTTAGAAGTTTTCATATAAATTAAAAAGATTACCTCATGGTAATCAAAATATGGTTTTACATGTCTAAAATAAATATGTACACTTTCTCCATTGGACATTAATTTCGATACCTGAATAAATGCTGATCATTCTAGGCAGTTGCAGAAAATGAATGCGAACAGAAATATTAGATATTTTTCCACAACCCAGAAGACTCTGTTCTTGTGTCTCCACCTCTCATCCTTTGTATCCAGTTTAACTTCCGTGTCTTCTGCTCAACGTAGTTGGTCTTCGAACTCAAAGTTCTTGAAAGGTGAACCAGAATACGAAGCTAGAGAAGATCAATTTGAAGACTCAAGAACATGAACGATTTTTCCTTGTAAGGTATCTGTACTGAAACTCTAAAGGATTCATGATGTCGGTGTAAAAGAAAAAAAATACAAAAATTAGGAATTTTGATTTATTAATAATATCAGAGTGGAAGGAGTGTGAGATGGCAAATTCTCTTTTTATTTCGTTATGGTTTTGTTTACACTTTATTATTCCTTCTATCGTTTAGTTGAACTGTACAATTTTATTTTACATTTAAACGCTAACTCACCTTCCAGTCAATCACAACAATTTATTTCAAATAAATTATGACTGACATCAGTTTTATCTGTACCTCACCGATAAGGACTCTATAAACAGATAATGCTATCGTAACCTCATGAGGTTACAAGCCATATACAAAAATAAGGGTGTGTGACGTTTATGCAAATACGATGATTAATTATATGTAAATTAATGTTTAACGATTAATTAATTAATGAGATGTAACATTCAATATGCTCGACGTATAGCAGTAAGTGAAAAGTTCAGACAGGGTTAGTCTACAAAAATGTGCAAAATATAGCTAGTGTGAATCATTATAAAATATATTTTTGCACCAAAATAAGCTGAACGTTCAATATATTTCAAATTTAACTTACTTGAACAAGAATGTTTTGTATGTTACTCAACAGTCTGTAGAAAAACTAATATATTTATTATTTATCTTTAAATAAGGATACAGAAAGCCAAATCACAAATGTTGAGAAAGAGAATGTCATTAATGTAGTAGGTTATGTACTTCTTCTGTTTCTGACTGACTACTTTCAGTTTTGGATGTGGAACTCGTATTTGTATACAACGTAAGTTTTAAACATCTACGTCGCCAAGATGTATGTTTAGTGCAAATTCTTCATGTAATCCTTTAAACCCAAAGAAATAACGGTGTTGTCCATAATCTTAAATTGGGTTGTTCTCCTAACTTCTCTGACAGGCAAATCCTGCTTGCTAACAACTCTAACTTTGATATTTAGTAATAACACAAACTAAAACATGAATATATTATATAATAGTTTATTTCCGAGGTTAAATTAACCTTCATAAAAGTCTGGTTATGTGTTAGTCGGTGTATAACTTCTACTCCGTTAAAGCTACAAATTGAGCGTTTCAATACTTAATAACAAATCTGCAACAATTGGATAAGAGATTACTAAACGAAAACGTAGGAAACTTTCTTGAATTATGGAAACTGAATCTCTGAGGATCAATGAAGAACCAATAGTAGGGTGTTTTTATACAGATTATAAAGTATTCTCCGGAAAACGTATACAAGCGTTATCATAACATAAGAAGTATCGGCTAGGGGTAACTACAGTTAGTTTCATAATTCATTCAAACATAAAATTGACGTGATTGAAGTAGTAGAATTTACGCTTAAATGTTGTAATATAAAAATTCAGTTTAACTAAAATCAAGTGGTGCCTAACCTATAGGAATGAGTCAAGTTCACACAGGTTTAGTCTACAAGTATGCAGTAAATATAGCTAATTACAATCATTATAGAATATACTTTACAACCAAATTAAGATGAATCTTCACTATACTTTAAGTTTAATTTAACGAAGAAGAGATTGTTTATCTCACTTACTCATTAAAAACGAATACATCTTATTCTTTCACTTTAAATAAGGAAACAAAAACCTAAATGTACAATCATGAAACTCGTTCTATAATTGGGATTATATAAAGAATCTATTTTACGTTTCCAAGTTACTTTGTTTTTGATGTAGAACTTTTGTATATAACAAGTTTTAAACTACAACTATGCAAGTCACGAAGATCTATACATAGTGCAACTTCTTCGCTTTAAGTTAACTTTCTAAAAAGTCTGGTATGTATCAGTTAATATAATATTGTGTATAATTTTAGTCAATTAAAGCCACGAACCGAACGTTATAACTATTAACAAAACTTACAATATTGGACAAGGGACTCCGATTTTACATCTTTTGTTTAGGTGTTAAAGACTAAAAGTGAAAATGAATAGTAAAGGGTCAACAAAGTACGATTTATAAAAGTAGCGCGGAGTCATATTGCTTTGCGTTCGGATGTTCACGTAATTCAAGAAATTTTTCGTTTAGCATAGATTGAGGATATATAAAAAAGAAACTGGAAAGAGTACAGTGTGGCCGACACTCTACTCTGGGAAAGAACAGCTTTACAGGCTATGGTAAAGCTTGCCTACAGTTTTCCCCTCTTTAGCCGCGTCCCCGGGAACGTGGCCAAGGGAATATGAAAGGACGTAAATGATGACTTGAATTTGTAATCTTGTCGTGAGCTTCTATAATTTGCATAACTGTTGTTTAATCCATGTTTTAATTTTGTAGTGTGTATTGTTCTTTGATGTTAACATTTCTGGCCAGACACATTAACTGTATTCGAATGATACGAAAGTTTACATATTTTTAATATGTATGGTAGTTAAGTTAAATTTCGCCTTTGTCTGTTTTCAGTGCCCTCTATTTAAACAAGAAAGAACTTTTAAATAAAATATATTCAAAAATAAGCCTGTTAAATGGAAAAAAAAAAACGCACTTTTATAACGATATACTTATTTGGAGTAAAATACATTTAAATTTCTATAATTCTTAGATTAACAAAAAGTAAACAAAGGATGATCTCTATTAGACATTATAGATTTCAGTTAAACTTGGAGGTATAGCAAAAAAAAATATCTT